GGACGTTTACACTGGTGCGGATGATTATGATGCTGGTGGTTCCGACGTTGATGGTGATGATGATGGTCATGGTGGTGTTGCTGCTGTTGTTGATAGTGATGAGTATGGCGGTGCTGATGATGATGGTGCTGCTGCTGATGCTGATGGTGATGATGCTGATTGCGATGATGATGGTGATGGTAATGGTGGAGGAGGGGGGAGTGAGGAGGGGGGAAAAGAGGAGCGGGACGCGGGGCTGTCTCTCCAAAGCGAGGGCCCACCACCACAGGATTTTGGGCCAAATATTCTGCCCTTCTACATACCGACTGTCCCCAGTGAACTTGCACATGCCCCACTGGCACAAGTTCTTGGAGGCGTCAACGTTGCCCACGGCACTGATCGCCTGAACGGCGGCTGGCGTGGTCTGGAGAGGGCCTCGCACTCGACGCAGCCTGCGCGTCCATCTCCTCCGCCCTGGCACGAGTCTGCTTCGTGCCCCTCCCACCCGAAGAAGCCGCCGTCTGCGCGTCGTCCAGGGCATTCGCCCCCTCCAGGAGCTCATCCGCCTGCTTGGAGGCACCACGCCCACGACGGCCAATGGGAGGGTCGCTATCCCAGCCTGCCTGCTTGGCCAGCATGGCCTCGAAGGTGCTGGCCATGAGGCGCAGCTCGACGACGCCGAACTTCGGGGAGTTCCCTGTGGGCATGCCTACGCGCTCGCACAGGCGGGCGACGCGCTGGCGGAGCCGCACCCCCTCGGGGCCCTCGCCATCGCTATTGTCCTTGCGCACGCCGCCCTTGGCCTTCCTCTTGTCCTGGCCCGCAACAGGGCACGTGTTGTCCGCATGGCGACGAGGCCGCCGTACCGACGGCAGCTCGTCCGCCCACTCGTCGGACAACATCGGCTCGCCGACTTCGGGGGGCCCCGAACCCGCCGACGCCGCCGCCGCCCCGCCCTGGGCCTTCTCCACAATGACGTCCTGTAGCTCGACGGGAGGGCCCATCTCCATCCGACCTCCGCGGCCGCGCGGGCGGCGGCGCCGAGGCGGCACCACCTGGGGACCCATGTCATCCTCGAGAGGGGGGGGGCGGACTGCCCGACGAGCTCGGCCACCACCGTGCGGATGAGCCCCTCCGCCGCGCGTAAGAGGCGAGCCGCACCGCGCGACCCGCCTGCGGCGGCCAGGCCCGCGGCCGCATGGACCGCCACCCAGGCCCCGCGAGAGGCATCCAGTGGCGCTGCGGCGCGTGCCGCCTTGGTCGACCCTGGCATCGGAAGGCGCGGCGGGCGGCGCGGCGGCGGCCCAGCGGCACGGCGGGCCTGCACCGGTGCGGCTCTGGAGGCGAAGGAGGAGCAGGAGAAAAAGGAGGAGGCGGAGGAGGGGGAGGGAGGGAGGGAGGGATGGCTGGAGGTAGGGAGGGATGGATGAGGAGGAGGAGGAGGAGGAGGAGCAGGAGGAGGAGGAGGAAGAGGAGGAGGAGGGCGACGAGGCGGCAGAACCTGCTGAGAAACTGGAGCGCGATGCCCTCGGCGCAGGGGAAACGCCATGTCCCCGAGCGCCGTCTGGGGCCCGTTTGGGCCACCGGTGTGGAGCCCTCTGGGCTCAAACAGCAGTCTTGGCAGTATTTACACGCTGCCCGGCGGCCAAAAAAACACAGCGGCCCCAGCGGCGGAGGGCCCCAGCGGCAGAGGACCCAGGCCAGCGGAGAGGCCGCAGCGGCGGCTCCGGCACCGGCGGCGGCCCACACGCGTGGCGCTTGCGGCGGCAGCAGTGCGTCAGTGGGGGCGGTGGTGGCTCAGGCGGTGACAGCGGCCTCCGTGGCCCCCCAAGGGCGTCAAAGGGAGCGGTAGCGGCATCTCGCCCTCCCCAGCACCACCACCACCACCACTCCACCAACACCACCACCACCACAATCGCCACCATCGCCACCATCACCATCCTCACCATCATCATCATCATCATCATCATCATCATCATCATCATCATCATCATCATCATCATCATCATCATCATCATCATCATCATAATCATCATCACCAGCAGCAGCAGCAGCATCATCAGCAGCAGCACCACCATCATATCGACAGCAGTAGCATCAGCATCGACATCATCATCAGCATCATCACCATCAGCTGCTGCATATTCATCATCATCACCATCATCAGCATCATCATCGTCATCGTCATCGCCATCACCGTCATCAGCATCATCATCAACATCATCACGCGAATCGTCGTCAACAACAACAACCTCATCATCATCATCATCATCATCAACATCATCGTCATCACCATCGTCGTCCTCGACATCGTCATCATCATCATAATCATCAAGATCAGCAGCATCAACAACGGTATCGTCGTCCTCCTCGCTGGCGTCCTCATCCTCATCCTCGTCAACATCATCATCTTCATCATCATCAACAGCATCACAATGGTAAGCAGCAACGTCATCATGGTCACCATCGGCATCATCAGCGTCATCAGCATCGTCGTCCTCGCCGTAATCATCATCAGCAGCAGCATCATCACAACCATCGTCATCATCATAATCGCCATCATTATCATCAGCATCAGCATCGTCGTTGTCGTGGTCGTCATAGTCGTCAACAGCATTAGAACCATCATCATCGTCAGCATCAGCATCAGCATCATCATAATCATCAACGTCACCATGATCACCATCGCTATCAGCATCGTCATCATCAGCAGAAGCATCATCTCATCATCAAGATCATAATCAGCATCAGCATCAGCATCATCATCATAGCTGAAGTCATCGTGACCACCACCCCCGCCTACATCATGATCATCTCGTAGTCGAGGTCGTATTGTCGCTGTCCTCCTCCGCCTACTTATCCTCATCCTCCTCCTCCCTCGCATCATCATCATCATCAGCATCATCATCATCAGCAACATCAGCAGCATCATACTCATCGGCACCAGCATCATCGTCGGCGTCACCAACATCATCACAATCAGCAGCATCATCTTCATCAGAAGTATCATCATCATCACCATCACCATCATCATCATCATCATAAGGTTGAGCTGTGTGTTATGTGTTGTGTGCTGTGTGGTGTGTGTTGTGTTGTGTGTGGTTGTGTTTCGTGTGGTGTGTGCTGTGTGTTGTGTGGTGTGTGTTGTGTGCTGCGTGGTGTGTGTTGTGTGTGGTGTGTGTGGTGTGTGTGGTGTGCTGTGTGTAAAGTGTTGTGAGATGTGTGGTCTGTGCTGTGTGGTGTGTGACTGTTGTATGGTTTCTGTGTTGCGTGTTGTGAGATGTGGGTTGTGCTGTGTTATCTGTGCTGTGTGTGTTGTGTGTTGTGTTGTGTTGTGTGTTGTGTGTATCGTGTGTTGTGGGTTGTGTGTTGCGTGTGTTCTCTGTGCTGTGTGTTGTGTGTTGTGTAACGTGTGTGTCCTGTGTGTTGTGTGGTGTGTGTCCTGTGTGTGATGTGTGTGGTGTGGTGTGTGTTATGTGTGCTGTGTGTTGTGGATTGTGTGCGTGTGTGTTGTGTGCTGTGCGTTGTGGTTCGTCTTGTGTGTTGTGGGTAACGTGCTTGTTGTGTGTTGATGTGTGTGGTAGTTGTTCTTTGTTATGTGTGTTGATTGTAATGTGTGTGGTGTGTGTCTTGTGTGGTGTGTTGTGTGTGTGCTGTGGGTGCTGTGTATGTTGTGTGTTGTATGTTGTGTGGTGTGTACCGTGTATGGGTAGTGTGTGTGTGTGTGTATTGTGTACTGTGTGTTATGTGTTGTGTGTTGTGTATGTTGTGTGTTGTGTGCGTGTGTTGTGTGTTGTGTGTGCTGTGTGTGGTGTGCGTGTGCGGGTTGTGTGTTGTGTGTGCTGTCTGGTGTGTGGTCTCCAACGGCCGGTGGTACCACCCGCCTGGCCGCAGCAGCGCTGGCGCTGGGCCGCCGGGCGCCGCCGCCCCGCCTGCTGGGGTTCCCCATCCGGCGGGGCGCTCCTCCCCCTTGCCCCGCCTTCCCCTCCCCCCTCCTCCCTCGCCTCCCTCTTGCTCTTGCCCTGCGCCTTTCCCTCCCTCCCTCAGCGCACCGCCATGGCGCCGTCGCTGCCGCCCCTGGCGTGCAGCTCCCTGTGGTGCCAGTGGGCCCCGCGCTGCGCCGCAGCCCCTGCCCTACACCCAGCGGGCACAGCACTTTGCTTCTGGCCCTCTGGAACCTAGATTGCGAATCTCGTCGCTTGCAACACCTAGTCGGCCCACACCTGGACGGCTTCGCTGTACTCACGCCTGCGTTCCGCGTGCTGGGCATCGGCAGCCCCCGTGGATGCACGGACGCCGCGGCTCGGCCGCTGCCACGGTCCCCGCTGCCGCTGCTGGCCGCGCCAGCGCGCTCGTGACGAAAGTCTTACACACACCTCTGAGTGCCCTCTAAATTCCCCCTCCTGTGCGGCCGCTCTGTCTCTCCTTCCCTCCTCCTATATGCTTGCCAATTCGCTATTCGGTTGCCCCGAATCGCTTCCCGCTGGTGCAGGTTACCTCTGCCGCGCCGACGTCGAAAAAAGTGTGTGTGTGTGTGTGTGTGATGCGTGTGTGTGCTGTGTGTTGCGTGTTGCGTATGTTATGTGTGTGTTGTGCGTATTGTGTGTTGTGGATTGTGTGTTGTGTGCTGTGTGTTGTGTGTGTTGTGTTTGATGTGTGCTGTGTGTTGTGTGTTGTGTATTGAATAGTGTTTGATGAATGTGCTGTGTGCTGTATGATGTGTGTGTTGTGTTGTGTGTGTGCCGTGTGTGCTGTGTTGTGTGTTGTGAGTTGTGAGCCGCGTGTGTTGTGCTGTGTGTGTGCTGTGAGCGTTGTGTGTTGTGTGTGATGTGCATGTTGCGTGTGTGTGTGCGTGTGTGTGTGCGTGTGTGGCGTGTGCATATATATATATATATACATATATATATATATATATATGTGTACATGTGGAAGGCGCCCTGAAGCATGTTGCAGGCCCTCTCCGCCGACCTGCTCCCTGGGAGGCGGAAGAGGGTGCAGCACGACACCCCATGTGGGCGGTCCTCGTGCGGGAAGCGGACGCTCTTCGCCTTGGGCGGCGTCTCCTGGCCCGAGAGACTCCCATCGGCAGGCGGGCACATGGGACGGGAGGCCGAGAGGGCGGCGACCCGCGGCGGAGGAGGAGGCGAGGACGGCGAGGAGGCCCGCCGAAGCGCCGTGTCGCCCCGCCGAGGGCCCGCGGCACCACGAGGCCCGGGGGGGAGGGCCCACGCCACGGCCCCCAGAGAGGCCGCGCCTCCCGAGGGCCTGCCCGCGAGCCGCGCGAGGCCAGAGGCAGCGCCTGCCCGACGTGCGCCCCCGGGGCGACAACGACGGCCACTGGCGGCGCTGCACGCCGGGCTGGCCCGCCAGGGACCACGAGCCTCCTCCTCCTCCTGCTCCTGCTCCTCATCCTCCTCTTCCTCCTCCTCCTCCTCCTCCTCCTCCTCCTCCTCCTCCACCTCCGTCCCCCCTCCAACTTATGGTGGTGGTGGTGGAAAACAGGCCCATCACCGACGCCCTGCCCCCCCGCAGTCGAGCCCTGCCGCCCCCCCCGGGGCCCCGCGGTCACTGCGACGGGCCTCGGAGGGGGGCTGTGCGCTCTGCGGGCCCGCCGTCGCCGCCGTCGGAGCCCCCGGGCCGACGCGTTGAAGGCCTCGGGCCGCTGCGCGACCCTCGGCACGCTCACCCGCGGCACGCGGGCGCACAAAAGTGGCTTTGGGAGGCCTCCCGCGGCTCGCCGCCTGCGTTCCACACCGCGCTCGGCCCTCCGCGGACCTAGGCCACCACGGTTACCAGGTCGTCCAGCCTTGCTCACTCGCTGGCTCGGTGGCTCAGTGGCCCCGGCGCCACAGGCTCGGAAAGTTCTCGGGCGGGGGCAGTCTGGTTCTCCGGCCAGGTACTGGGCCTCGGGGGACGGCGGCGGCAGAAAGCGTGCGGCGAAGCAGAGCTGTTGGGACGCGGCCCCGTGGAAACAAAAGAGAGCATCGATCGGTCGGGCATGTCCTCCTACACGCGGATTTGGGACGAAACATAACACAAAAAACATGTAGCCTGGCGAAGGACCCAACCATATGCAGTTGTTCGTACGGCAAGTGTGAATATCTTCTCCGGTGGCGCTCCCTATGGAGCCACGAAACGTGGGAGGGGTGTGCCGAAATGGGTGTGGGGGACGCATGCGGACGGGAGCACTAGGGCCTTCGGCGGAGCTCCCTATGGGGCCACGAAACATGTGCGGGGTGTGCCGAAATGGGTGTGGGGGACGCATGTGGACGGTGGCGCTGGGGCCTTCGGTTCGGTGGAGCTCCCTATGGGGCCACGAAACGCGTGCGGGGTGTGCCGAAATGGGTGTGGGGAACGCAAGTGGACGGTGGCACTGGGGCCTTCGGTGGAGCTCCCTATGGGGCCACACAATGTGTAAGGGGTGTGCCGAACTGGGTGTGGGGGGGGACGCATGTGGACGGTGGCACTGGGGCCTTCGGTGGAGCTTCTGATGGAGCCACGAAATGTGAGAGGGGTGTGCCGAAGTGGGTGCGGGGGACGCATGCGGACGGCGGCACTGGGGCCTTCGGTAGAGCTCCCTATGGGGCTACGAAACGCGTGAGGGGTGGGCTGAAATGGGTGCGGGGGACGCATGCGGACGGTGGTGCTGGAGCCTTCGATGGAGCTCCCTATGGGGCCACGAAACGGTTGAGGGAAGTGCCGAAATGGGTGTGTGGGGGACGCATGTGGACGGTGGCACTGGGGCCGTCGGTGGAGCTACTTATGGAGCCACGAAGCGTGGGAGGGGTGTGCCGAAATGGGTGTGGGGGACGCATGTGGACGGTGGCACTGGGGCCTTCGGTGGAGCTCCCTATGGGGCCACGAAACGTGTGAGGGGTGTGCCGAAGTGGGTTTGGGGGACGCATGTGGACGGCGGCATTGGGGCCTTCGGTGGAGCTCCCTGTGGGCCCACGAAACGCTGTACTGGGTGGGTGAAACGCAAGGAGGAGGGAGAGGTGGCGGGAGGAGAACGCAGGGGCCGTCTCTTCAAAACGAGGACCCAACACCACAGGATGGTGGGGAAAAATAATCAAAACATCGTCCCCGTACTACTTTAAACTATGTCTGAATATTCCTCCTGTACAGGGACGTGCCCGACTTCACACCAGAGAGTATCCCCATGCTCGACCTCCTCCATGACCTTCGAGGCTCAAAGTGGCAACGGGCGATCCTTCGTGGCACGCGACTCGCTGAACCGCTGCACGCGCTCCTCGGTCTGGCAGAGCTCCAGCGCGCCTCACAGCCGCAGGAGTGCGCTGGCACGACGAAGACGAAGAGAAGCAGGAAGAGGGGAAAGCCTTGGAAAAAACGGAAAGCGCCCCTTTTTTCCACGAGGTTCGCAAAAATAAGAAACGAATGAGATGAGGAGGAGAGGGAGGACAAGGAGGCGGGTGAGGAGGAGGAGGAGGTGGAGGAGGAGGACAGCGTGGAGACGAAGGGAGGGCGAGGGTGACCAGAAGGATACAGAAAAACGTTTCCCGAGGCGCGCCTGCACGCATGGAGGCCTCGATGTCCATCTCGATCACCGCGGCGTTGGCGACGTCATAAATGTAAGGGACCTTCCTCCATCCCTTTCCTTATGCATAATTCCTCCCCGTCACACCCCGAGAAGTGTCCGCAGGGCATGCCGAGCGTTTCGCCTGAGACTTCCTCGCCTTCTATGAGCCTGAAGCTTGAAATTTGCAACGGTTTCACAGATGGAGGGCGGATCGTTTCCAACATGTGGTTCTCGCCGTAGCGCCGCACACAGTCGTCTCCAACGTTTGCAACGGTTTCACGGATGGAGGGCGGTTGGCTTTCAAAATGTGGCTCTCGCCCTAGCGCCGCGCACACTCGTCTTAAAAAACGCTTTGGCCCCATGCCTGACTGCCTGGCAGATCGAAGTTTTAAAAGAATAATAAATCCACCAAAAACATGTTGGTATGCCTTGCCCTGGCTCGAGAGCGGATACGGAATGCGAAATGCACCCTCCGGAACGCCCCCATGCCCGCCCCTCTCTGCCGGCCTCGGTGCCGGTGTCCGTGTATCTGTGCAACCTGAGCCACCTGCTCCGCTCGCAAGGCGACGACAACGAGGACGACGCACGACGACCACGTTGACTGACGACGACGACGACGACGATGACGACGACGACAGCGACGACGACGACGACGACGACGACGACGACGACGACGACAACGATGGCGGCGCCGGCGGCGACTACGACGACGACGACGACCCACGACCCACGACCCACGAACCACGACCGACGACACACGACCGACGACGACACGACCACGACGCACCGACTTACGACGTACCGACTTACGACGCACGACGGAGGACAACGACCACGACCACCACGACAGCGACGACCACGACGAAGACGACGACGACGACGACGACGACGACGGACGGACGGACGGACGGACGGACGGACGGACGGACGGACGGACGGACGGACGGACGGACGGACGGACGGACGGACGGACAACGGCGGCGGACGACGGACGACGGACGACGGACGACGGACGACGGACGGACGACGATGACGATGACGATGACGGCGACGACGACGACGACGACGACGACAACGACGGACGACGACGACGACGACGACGACGACAAGGACGACGACGACGACTACGACGGACGACGACGACGACGACGACGACGACGACGATAACAACAACAATCATCTTACCCTCATGCGCGATGTTGTCACACGAAGCATGCGACCGTCATGATATCCATGCCCATCATGGAGATTATTGCTCAAAAGCCGGGTCCGTTATTCCCATATCCTGATCTCCCGCCAAATCAGGTCTTGCAAACACGTCCTCCGAAGAATTTCAACATATCCCGCCTCGAAAACGCATGCCCGCGCCTTGTTGCGCCGATGCGACACCGCCAGTGGAGCCCCAGCCAAGGGTAAAGCACAAGGATTATTAGTATTATTATTTGTCGTCTTCTTATGATTATTATTATTGATACTATTCGTAGTAGTCTTCTCTTTACTATTATTATGATTCGTCGTCTGCGCATTCTTCTTCTGATTTTATTATTACGCGAACTCTTATCATGCTTAGGATTCGTCTTATTATTGGGATTACCATTGTTATTCGCATTTTAATTATTTGAAATATTATTCATTGCCTTATAAGTTTGCTTATCAGTAGTATTAGCGTTATTACGTTTATTCCTATTATTTGTATTCTGAGAATTCTTACTATTAGAACTATTCTTATTATTATTCTTCTCATTATTACTCATATTACTATTACTAATCATATTATTAATAGTCCTTGCCTTCTTCGTATTCGTAGTCGTCTTCTTCGTCGTCTTGTTGTGATTCGTATTCGTATTCTTCGTCTTCATATTACATTTAGTAGGATGAAGATTCCTCCTCCCCCTCCTCCTCCTTCTCCTCCTCCTCCTCCGCCTCATCCTCCCTCTCCTCCTCCTCCTCCTCCTCCTCCGCCTCCGCCTCCACCTCCGCCTCCGCCTCCGCCTCCGCCTCCGCCTCCGCCTCCGCTTCCGCCTCCTCCTCCGCCTCCTCCTCCTCCTCTTCGTCCTCCTCCTCCTCCTCTTCGCCTTCGTCTTCTTGTTATTCCCCGCATTCGTATTATTATTCTTCCTCTTAGTATAACCAAGTGTAGGTTCACTTTCCTTATCTTTATTAATCATATCCTTATTATTACTAGGGTAATCGTTATTAGCATTAATATTAGTATTATTCACATTGTTAATAGGATCGCTATTACTAGTATTAGCATTGCTACAAATTCAACATTATTAGTATGATTATTGTTAGTACTATGAGTATTAGTATTATTATTAAGTTTCTTACTATTAGTATTACTAGTCCGATTCATCTTATTATCCTTCGTCATATTGGTGTTGATGTGCTTTCCCTTATTCGTCTCATTCTTCTTAGTTTACTATTGTTATTACGATTATTACGATGAATGGTATTATTATTCTGATTGCTGGTATTACTACTATTAGTCTTATTATCTTGCACAGGGTGTCTAGAGCACACACTACTGTATTTCGGCACGGCACACCCCTCATCACCTACACCTTCCACCAGCCAGCGCAACCCTCCATCCCCCCCCCGCACCCACCCACCCACCAGCACCCACCGGCCAGTGCGCCCCCCCGCCCCGACCCGTTTATTTCGGCAAGGCACACCCCTCCGCCCCGACCCCCGCCAGCACCCACCAGCCAGTGCGCCCCTCCGCCCCGACCCCTTGATTTCGGCACGGCACACCCCTCCGCCCCGACCCCTTGATTTCGGCACGGCACACCCCCTCCGCATCCCGCCACCCACCAGCCACCGCGCCCCTCCGCTTCGACCCATTGTATTTCGGCACGGCACACCCCTCCGCCCCGACCCCTTTAGTTCGGCACACCCCCTACGCCCCCCCCACACACCAGCCAGTGCGCCCCTCCGCCTCGACCCCTTTTATTTCGGCACGGCACACCCCTCCGCCCCTCCGCACCCCTACGCCCCCCCACCCAGCAGCCAGCGCGCCCCTCCGCCCGACCCCTTTTTATCTCGGCACGGCACACCCACTACTACGCCCCCCCCCACCCACCA